GTGGCTAGAGTATGTTGTTATGACAATAAGGTCGAGGGTTCAGATCCCTGTGCAAGCCAGCCACCCTCCACCCCCCAAAAGTTCTGAATATCTTCTGCACAATGGTGTGAGTATATGTAACACTACTTAAAAGTAAAGAAATGTTTAAGATGGTAAATTTTATCATGTGTTTTTTTACCAAAATTTAAAATCATTTTAATTATTTAAAAAAATTATTTATAAAAGCCAATAAAGAATCAAAATGAAATATTAAAAAAGTTGATTAACAGAAAATAAGTTAGAAAAAGAACAGCAAATGATGAAAAGGAAAGTGAGACAAATAGAAAACGGCAAACCAAAATCCAACCTTGTTAATAATTAGTTCAAATAAAATTAAACTAAATATCCTCCTTAAGGCAGAGACTGTCATACTTGATAGGAAAGTGAGACAGAACAGTATGCTATCCACACAGACATACTTTAAATACAAAGTTCACCACCACACAGCCAGCCCTGCAAGAAATTCTCAAAGGATTCCTGCATGTGGAATCTGAAAAATGATAATCACTACCATGAATACACAAGAAAGAACAAAACCCACTGGTAGAACAAAAGTGCAAACAAGAAAGAGAAAAAACCCAAATCTTACCACCACAAAAACAAAACAAAAGACATAATGACAAAGAAACAAAAGCAAACAAACTTTCAGTCTCTTTGGAAGATGAAAAGGAAACAATTCATTTTTCTAAAGCCAGTAAGTAAAAGAGAATAGTCAAGAATTTACGCTGTCCTTTCTATGTGAATTTTTCCTCAGGGTGAACATAAATAGCTGAATGAACATTTCTGTCTATTAAAGTATCCTAGCTAGTAAATAAAGAGGGAACAAAATAATTAGAATATGATATTTTGTGACCCCCTATTGAAATAATGGATCTAGCAAGTGATCACCAATGTCTGCTAACATCATAGACAGATGAGACATAACAGGCCTCCTGCTGTAAGAACATGCACCTCTGAAGCCAAAACTAACATGAGTGAGACCAAGCCTCAAGATTCAGCAACCAATCATCAGGAAATGCAGGGGATGGTGGAACATGTTAAATGACACTTCTGGGATGGAGCCAGCAAATTCAGACTTTGGGCAACTTTATGAGGTAAGGGGGAAAAAGTAGATGAAGAGAGAACCTATAGATTAAAAGCAACATAAGAGACACCTGACATAGCAACCAATGCAAGAAGCAGAACTTGTTTGGATCCACATGTAAACAAATCAATTGTAAGAAATTGAGAGGGGGAGAGAATTGGAGAAACTTAAGCATATTTAATGTTTGGTCATATTAAGTAATTATTATTGATTTTTAAAATGTGATTATATACTGCGGTTATGTCTTTTATGAAAGAATACTTCTCTTTCAGAGACACATACTGAAATATAAACAGATGAATGCTATGATACTGGGATTTACTCCAAATAATCCAAGGGGAAGGCAGAAAGTGGGCAGGGGGTATAAGTAAGATAAAATGGCCATGAGTTGATTGCTGTAGCCAGATTTATTGCATATGTATTAAATTTTTCATAATAAAAGTTTTAAAAAAAGATTAGGTCAGGCAAGAATCAATAGATGCTGAATCTATGAGGAATTTTGATTAGGAGTAGGATATTTGCATGGGCTTAAAGTGTCTCCCCACAGATTTCTTATTACTTGTAAGGGAGAAAAAAACAACAACAGTGGTTATACAGTGGAGAAATTAGACAATACCTTGATTGGTGATCAAAATAAACTCACTGGTTAAAGTGAGGGACAGATCAACATTGTGTACCTCCAGATGTGATCCCAAGGAGGACACACTGTCACCTATGAAGCTTTCTTGGTTCAAAAGCATCACCTCACAATGGTAATTGGCCATAATAATCAACCACATTGTATATCCACAAAATAAAATAAAATAAAATATTTTAAAAAATAATAAAAAAATAAAAGAAGCAAAAGAGAAATGACAAGTAAACCCAAGACTGGATCCTGTACTGGAGGAGAACAATGCTCTGAAGGACACTACTGGGTCAACTGAGAAAACTGAACTGTGGCTATATAAGAGAATACCCCTATTCTTAGGAAAGTCACTCCTAAGTATTTAGGGGTAGGAGGCCATGATGTATGTAAGTTACACTCAAATGGTTCAGAGAAAACATTGTGTGCATGAGAGAAAGAGAGCAGGCACAAGTGATAAAGCAAATGGGTAAAATATTAACAGTTGGTCAATGTTAACAATCAGGTAAAGGGTACACCAATGTTCTTTGTACTGTTTTTGCACATCTTTTATAAATTTGAAATAATTTCCAAATAAAAATTTTAAAAATTATGTGTTTGAGTAATATTGAACGACACTGGGATATGTTCAATTGTAAATTTTCTAAGAACTCAATTTTGTCTTAAATAAAAATTTAAAATGTAAAAAAATAAAATAAAATAAAGATATACTACACAGACACTAATTACAAAAGCTTAAGTGGAGAAACAAATACTACCCAAATGAGACTTCAGGACAATATATATTACCAGAAATAAAGAGAGAAATTTCATAACCATACAAAGATAATATGTGAGGATGATACAGTGATTATCAACGTGGCTGTTCCTAAACACAGAACCTCAAAGTACTGTCATGTGTTGCTTAACAACTGAAATACAATCTGTGAAATGCATCATTAGGCAATTTCTTTGTTGTATCATCGCAGAGTGTACTTACACAAACCTGAATGGTACAAACTACTGCACACCTAGGCTATATAGTATAGACTATTTCTCCGACCACTGTCAAATATATGGTCTGTTGTTGACCAAAATGTCATTATGGGGAACATGACTGTACCTGAAACAACAGCAATGGTAATAAAAAACAGACCTAAAGCAGGAAATTGGTGAATCTACAAGCAGAGTTGGAGAATTAACACTCCTCAGTAATTGATGAAACCATTAGATAAAAAATCAGAAAAAATACTTATCTAAATGTCAAAATCTTTACCTACTTGATACTTATAAGGCACAATGCAGAGCCATCACCAAAACAGAGCATACATTGAGCTATAAAACATGTCTCAAGAATGAAGTCTTATAAAGTATGTCCTCTGTCCACAATGGAATTAGATTAGAAACCAACAAACACAAAGATATCCAGAAAAGCCTCAAAAATTTAATCATTCAATGACAAACTTCCAAATAAACTGAGAAAAGAAGTACTCACAAAATAAGTTGAAGTGTTTTTGCAGTTCTTTTTTTTTTTTTTCCTTTTTGTCTTTTTTCGTGACCAGCTCTCAGTGTCACGCCCGTACCGCAACTGGCAACGGGATTGCAACCCTTGGTGTCGTGCCCGCACCGCGCTCAAAGGTTGAAGTGTTTTTGTACAAAAATATTGTAATGATAATATTTCTGGCAAATTAAAGGTGGCCGCAACTTCTTTCCTACTTTCACTCTCTGGTAGAAATTAACTCCCCTTGAAACTTGCCTAGACATGTCAACTTCTTTGGCCAACAGAATGTAGCAAAACTGTCATTTTGAGACTTCACAGGCAAGGCTGCAACAGCTCCTGCAGCTTCACTTCTGTCTCTAGGAATGTTAATTTTGGAAATCATCTTGTAAGAAACCCAACCACCCTGAGACCACCCTGGTGGAGGAACACATGGAAAGACCACGAGCAGGTGTGCTCACTGACAGCCCCATGAGTCTCCAGCAGCCCCTGCAGCCATCAGTGCACCTTCGTGGACAGCAGCCCAGCTGTGCTTCCACATGATCCACCCCAGCTGCTACCTCACTGCACCTGTGTGGGAGACAAGCCTGCCAGACAGACTACCTAAGCCAAAGAAGCAGAAATAATAGTAAATTGTTTTAAGCTTTCAAAGTTTGGGCATGAACTTTTAAGCAGAACAAATAACTGAAACAGAATTTGGTGCCTGGAAATTGGGTGCTGTGGTGATTAAAAGCTGAAACATGTAGCATTGTCTGTGAGACTGAGCAGAAGCTGGGCCTCAAGGAGAATGTGCCATCTGGAAGGGCACCAAGACTCTTGGTGAAGCCTGAGAGTGAGATAAATTGCATTGGAAATGAGAAAAAAGCATGTGGGTTAGGTACTGGAGGATTGTGAGCCTCACTGTTGCTTCCCATCACATGGAAAATTGATCGGGTATCTCACCATCAGGGGTTTGCCAGAAGACACTTCTGGGAAGAATGTGTGAAATTTGCTATCTGATCTCCCCTTTCTGCCATTAAGAAAATATGAGAGGAGAGAGATGAACTAAAAGAAAATTCAATTTTTGAACAGAATTTAGAGAAAATATAAATGAGCCAGGGGGCCTATTGGTTAGCTCAGTTGGCTAGAGCATAGTGCTGATAACATCAAGGTTCAGGGTATGATCCCTGTACTGGCAAGCTACCAAAAAAACCAAACCATACCAAAACAAACAAACCAAAAACAAAACAAAGCCAAAAAAGGGGCTAGGACTTGCCGGGTTTGAAATAAAACTATTTTTCAAGACCAGCTCCCCCTCTGTCCCCTCAGAAAAGTTTTCAAAGTAAGAAACGGCTTTGTGGCAAGGACCCACCCCAGTGTTTTGCAAAACAATATAAAACATCAAAAATATTTTCAGTCTTCTAAGGATCTTAGGGTGTGAATGAGAGACAGTGCCTGGTAAACGATCAGGCTTCTGAGGACATTATTTCATCACAGCCTTGGAGAGAAGGGGAGGCCAGAGAACAAACGGTTTGCCTCAGATTGTGTGGGGGTAGGTTTCATCTAATGGATTTCAGTACACAGGAAGCAGCTTTATGAAGAAATGATTACACTAAAACATTTCTTGTATCAAAAGTTAAGAGTCAGAAAAAATAATGAGATCAACTTTGGATCCCCAACTTCCTATAAGCAAGAAATAGGCAAACAACATCTCTTGCCTTTACATACATAAACTTTGTGAAAAGTATGCATCTTGAAACCAAACATTTTTGGTCAATTATGTATAGAAAACAATGTACATAATATATATTTATTGTAGTACACTTTTCCAGTAGTGGTTCCCAATGAAACACCTTTCTGTGTCCATGTGTTCATGAATTTCCCTCCCCAAATGACCATGGGCTTTGCAGGTGCACTTACTTTGTCTAATGGGACACCAGTAAATGAAACACAAACATAGTTCTGTAAAGTATTTGCCCAAACAAAGTTTCCCTTCTTGGAATACTATCATCTTGGGAAGAAGCTTGGTACTTGCCTGTTGGATTCACAGGGACCAACCAAGAGTCAGCACAAACCACCAGACATGTGAGTGAAGTCCTCTTCCAGGAACCAGCCTCAGTCAAGGCACCAGAAGACTACAACCTCAGTTGTGCTCCCAGGTGACACCAGCATAGGTACTGCCCAAGAAGCCCAACCCAAAATCATAAACAAATAAAATGGTTGTTTTTAAAACCAGGAAGTTTTGGCTGATTTGTTATACATCAAATGCTGGTAGCTCTAATTTCCCAGAATTCAGTATGTTTTTAACATATTGGTGAGTAGGAGAAAGAATTAACTACATGCCGATTACAATTAGTGGAGCTTCACACACAGAGGTTTTCATAAGCATGATAAACGTCACCAAGATGGACGTCAGTGAGGTGCTGGCACTAAGGCGGGTCACGGGAGTCACACAAACTGTCCTGAGATCATTGAGACTATGTTTTAAATGTCTCTTACTTATACATGAGCATGGTATTATTTTATTTATAGTTTAAGAAAGTAAGTAGGAGTAACAATGTGATTCAGTCTAGTTTTCTCATTTTAAATAGTGGAAATAAGCTTCTAGTAATTTGCTGTAGTATTTATGGTTTTCAAGAACAGATTACTGACATTAAGTGAGAAAAAACTTGTACTATTAACCCCATGAGCTCATACAATCCACAGAAAGCACTGGGGAAAAATAGTAATGTTCAAGGCAAAGTTTTGTAAAACAACGTTTGTTCTAAGTTGACTGCACTTTCTAAAATTGATCTCAAAAACAGACATGAGTTTTGACTTAATTGTATAAAAGCAGAAAACACTAGTCAAAAAGTCAGGATGCCTGACATCTACAAATCACGTGACCTTGGGCAACTCACTCCCCCAACTGTTTGTTTATTTGTTAATGTTTCTTACACAGCAGAAAGACCCTGGCAGACCCTTCCTGAACAGCCAGGAAGAACTATCAGGATACAGGAAGCATCAGCACATCTCCAGATACAAAATGTGGTGCCAGACTAGGTTTGAGAGAGCTCCAATTCTGGAAAAAATGAGCGTAGAGTGAAGTAATGGGAGTGTGCTAGGGAGCACTGTAGTCAGGTCTTCTCAGCTGTGACATGTTATTCCTCCATCCCAGACCACACCCTGAAGACCCCTCCCATGAGTCACATTTTCTAAGCCCTTGTCTATCCCTCAACCAACTCACATCTCCCTTCTAAAAGCTAGTCCGAATGTTCCACTATCACCCCATCTCTGGCAGCTTCTGGAGAAGGCAGTCACACTCAAGTCCTGCTCACTCTAGGCAGTAGGCTATTGTTGCTTGGGCCATGTGAAGATAAGATCTTCATCTTTCTGCAGTTCTTCATCTGTTCTGAAGGGCTAGTGAGAGGGCTCAGCTCAGAGAGGTTCTCTCAGGTGGGATTCCTGTCCACAGAGTACCTACCCCTTCACACTGCATAAGAACTACTCTGTTCCAAAGCAAATGGGACCGTCATCCAGGACCCCAGTCTCTTTCATAGAACACACTGTCCCTGGAAACAAGGCCTTCATACATTTTTGAAATGTCAAATCAGGGGTGCTAAGTGTGCTATAAATTAAAGGAGGAAAACAGAAACTTCAGTGCTGGAGAGAAACCGACACCCCACGGATACAGCTGTCACATGGCAACTCTCAGTCTGCACGCACAGCACAGTTACCTCTCTGGGAATTTGGGGCATTTCCTAGTATTCCTAATATGCTCATGTTACAGATGGGTAAACTGAGTCTCGCATAGATTACTAACAGGCTCCTTTATGGCAGAGCTGAAATGTGACCTCATGGCACTCCTCTGTCCTCTTCGCCGTCTTGGACTTGACCACCTGTTCGTGAAGATTCTGGAACCAGCTTTTGTAGCACATACCTGGCCTAGCAGTGCACCTTCTTCTGACAAAGCATTTATTGGAAGCATAGCCTGAGTTGCCCCTTCCCCAGCCCTGACCTGTGGATCCAGGCTAATGTCACTGCACCATCCCACTAAGTTCCCACTATCCTTTCCAGAAGCCACCAATACTTGATGCCCCCATCATCACCTCTAAGCTTCAATACCTCCTCCACACCCCACTGTGCCCAGGACCGAGCTCTGGTCCTTCTGCCCCTTCTGCCCCTTCCTTAGTCCACCCTCATCCCACCCCGTCCCCAGCCCCCAGGGTTTGGGGAGGGCACGGCTCATCACCACCCCAGGCTCAGCGGGAGGATGGTGCCGAGGCACAGCGGGAAGAGCTGGGCACAGGCCCGGGCACAGGCCACAGCAGCTGCTCACCTGAGACACGGTGGGAGGCTGTGGGACATGAGACGTGGTGGCGGGGAGAGGACCACAGATGCCTGATGCCACGTGGAGCTGGTCACAGGCACGTCCAGTGTTTGGGCGCCGGCTTGGAGTGAGCCCCAGAGAACAGGGCCACAGAGATGCCGTCGCTGCTGGAGAGGGACAGCCGGGGCCGCTCCTCCCCGGGCTGTCCCCACAGATCCAGCACCGCTGCAGGTGGAGGGCGGTGCGGGCTCAGCACCACCTTCCTTAGGACTGAAGGAGCCCAGAGGCCTTCCTGACAGAGGTGGCCCGGCTGCCCGCGGAGGAAGCTGCTTTTCCCATTAGGAATTGTGATCAGCCTGAGAGAACCTGCCTTAGCATGGCTGCAGGGTCGTCCCTTGGGAAGGCCAGCGCTCATGATGACTGCAGGGTGCTGGCTGCTGTGAGGGACACAGATGGCTGAGGTCACCCAGCTCTTCACCTTGTGTGCCCCTCGTCCCTGATGGCTCCTCTTCGCCTGCCGTCTCACCACCTCGCTCCTGCCTCAGATGCCCCTGGACGGGCGCCTCCTCCCCACCCCACTTCTCCAGGGAAGGCAGAGCTGTGCCATCCCTGGGGCTGGTTTAATAGGCTCCTGTGTTTAGTGCCCATTAGCGGGGTTGTGGGGATGGACCCAGGGGGAGGGTGGAGAAAGGGTGGGCCTCGTGGCGGGGCCTGCAGCCTGGCATCCACTAGGCAGAGCTGAGTTCACTGGTGTCAGTGGAAAAGGGAAGGAAGCCCACAATTAAGTGACCAGGATGATGCCAAGGATGCCTTAGCGCTCCCACCTTGGCCAGAGGCCAAACCCCAGGAAGGTGCATGAAGGGACTGCCACCCATACGGGTCATCTCTGCCCTCACAAGCTACACCAAAGCCATCTCATTTGCTTGTGATTCTGTGGTCAGCAATTTGGGTGAGGCTCAGCTTGGGTCCCTCAAGGGGCTGTGTCATCTGGCAGCTCCACCAGGGCTGGGGTCTAAGGTGGCCCCGTTCACATCATTCCAGAGCCTCTCAACATCTCAATTGGAGCATCAGTGAGGGTGGGGTGCAGAGATGTTGCTCCCGCCACTCCTGACACAGCTTCGTGTCACTACACAGGGACTCTGCCGCAGAGGATGTGTTCACCTGCCCATGTACTTCCTGTTTGACTGACTGAATGCCATCTGGGACACCCTGAACATGGACGATGACCACTCTGTCCCCGCGGGGCCCTGCTGATGGGGTGAGGTGGGAGTTGTGGCTGCTCACCAGGCTGTCATGCCAAGGTCATCAGGAAAAGAGAGGCCCCGGGCTGTGGTGTCGGAACTGGGGTGCATGTCCTGGTGTCCCATGTGAGTGAGGGTCCACTCCACTCAAAGGCCTGGGGGCTGCTGGGCTCCATCAGCCGCTCAGAAGCAGTGACACCCACAGCAGCCCCACCAGGCAGGAAGCAGGAGCTCTGGCAGCTGGGTGTCCTTCCATGCTGCCACCTTCCACCCCTTCTGCTTGCCTGTCCACACCTGCAGGAGGAAGAAGTGCTTCTTGATTCCTCTGGGGCAGGAGGAGGCCCGGTGGCACTGCCACAGTGGCCTGTGCTGTGACGTGACCTCCCCTGACTGCCTCTGCCTCCTCCTGCAGTGCTGTGCAGGCCACACAGCCACCCAGAGGCCACGCAGGAGGCCGCAGTATCTGTGCCGGGTGGGTGGCAGCGGCCAATGCACAGCCTGGGGAGGCGGGCGCCCCACCCAAGACAAGCCTGAGGCCACTGGGGCCCCTGCTGGCAGCAGCCCGTCCCCAGCAGGATAGCAGAGCTGCCCTCCTGACTGTCCCTCTGGGAGACATGGTGTGGGAAGGGGTTTCACGCAGCATTGCTGAGGTCCGGGCCCCTCTGTGTCACTCCCTGCCACGTTCCTGCCATGGGCTCATATGCTTGGGGTTAGCTGTGGACTGTGGGACCCCAGCTCAGCGCCCTCTTCCCTGCTGAGCTGGCACTGTCAGGAGGCGACAGAGGGCTGGGGCCCATGGCATATCCCACATCCGCACCCCAGGGCACTGGGCCCAGCGCAGGAGGCCTTGGTTGGTGACCACAGAGATGGTGGGGATCGGGGCAGTGCTGGCTGTGAGCTCCTGTGGCACCGTGTCCCTTTAGCACCTGCCAGAGAATGGGGCACTCTAAAAGGAGCGCCCAGAAAGCAGCCTCCCTGCTTCAGGGCCCCCCAGAAATAAAACTGGTCCTTACCCCTGTGACCTGAGACATGTCCCCTGCTGGGCCTCATGGCCTCAGCGTCCCCAGGGACAGCTCCTCTGCTTGGCATCTGATGGCGATTTGGAGACCCATGGACAATTCCTGATTCCCTGTTCTCAGGTAAGGCCCAGCAAGGATTGGGACTCTGGATCCACTGAGAGGGTGCCCAGGTGGGAGCATGTTGGTCCATGTGCCCTGCAGCAACCCTGCCAGGGACCAGAAGCTGGGTGGTGGTGTCAAAACTTGTTTTTTTAGACCCTCTCAGCATTCCCTCAGGTGAAGGCCAGGACATCTGAGTTCACAGGGTCCAGTCTGCCTGCTTCTGGAGGCTCCTCTGTGTGGCCCAGCCCCGTCCCCTCATCACATGCTCACATGCACCCTCCCCAGCCCTCCTGCCCATCTGGCTCTGCCTCCACATTCCCTGGGGCTGCAGCGAGGCAAGGAGGAGGTGGGCACAGTGCTGCAGGCCCATGTTGGGCATTTTGAGCTGGAGTAGGTCACCTGCATCTGGAGGCAGGGGAGATGGGGACAGAGAGACACCTTCCAGGTCCTGGGCCAGCCAACACCCAGGACAGAGAGTTGGTGCTGTGGGTGGTGGGTGGGTGGCACAGTCGAAGGTCTGGGCTCTCCTTCCCCACAGCCCCACATGACAACCATTGTGGGGGCTGTGCCTGCCCCACCCAACCACTGTCCAGCCCCCCACCCTAGCCTTTGGGCTGTCCTAGCAGTGGCAGGGCTGGCCACCAGCCGGGGGCTGGCAGATAACCTCTGTCAAGGGAGCATTCCATCAGTGGCCACCTCTCCCCATCATCAGGGTAGCCTGCCATGCTCCTGTCTGTCTCCTGGGCAAGGAGGGTTGGTGCCTGCCCTGTTCCTTCACTGGCTGCACACAGTGGGTGCCTTGTCACTCTCTGAGAAAGAAAACAAGCAGAGTCCATCCCTGTCCACCTTTCACAGGGACCCAGAGGCATCTTAACCTGCAGTTGATGCACCAATGTGTTCCCCATTTTGTAGATTCTCATCTTTCCACTGAGGAGATTCTCAGGACTGGTGGCTGTAGCCACCCCAGCATCATATGAAGCTGGGCACAAAGGACTGAGGTGCATGGCTGATGTGAGAGGAGGAGGCTCACCATGTCCCTGTCCTGAGCCCCACATCGTCATGGGTGGGGACTGATACTGGCAGGGCCTGGCTCTCCTTCCCAGGGCATCTGTGACCCCATTCTTAGGTCTATGACTCCTTCCTTCCTGTAAGGGGAGCCCCAGTCCTTGGCCCTCCAGTGGGAATGACAAGGTGTGTAGGGCCAGGGTATTGTCAGGACCCTCAATCATGACCCAGAGTCCACTCACATTTCCAGCTGGTCCTGGTGTTGGAGTGAGCAGGACTGAAGCCATGTTGGGAATTAAAACTGCCCGGACTGCCAGGGGTAGGAGATTTTTTAAAAGGACAGTTATTTTTTCTTTCTCTCTCCACTCTTTCTTCTCATCCCCTGACTTTCTTATCTTACTTGTCAAAGAAGAGAACAAGACTAAGAAGCTAATCAGTACTTTGCAAAGCTAACAGTTCTTTCATTGACGCTTGTAGAGTTTTGAAAAATGATCAAGGCCAAATGACTGGAAGCTGACCTTGGGCACCAGCCAAGTCAATTAGAGCTCTGTGAAGTGAAACTGTGCAAAAGACTGCAGAAAAGACAGTTCTACACTGGAGCAAATCAAAATCTTGCAGAGTCCCGAGATAACAGTGAAGGTGAGAACAGAAACCAGAAGAAGCCTTGTTGAGACTTCCTGACTCATAGACTGGGACTCCTCGTAGCTCAGGTACCCTTCTCTCCTGCTTTTCACCTCCCATGTTCCATTCCCTCAAGCCACTGTTTAGGAACCCCTCAGTAAATCTAAATCTTTCAGATGGGGTAGCCTACCATCTCCTTCAGCTGAATACATCTGCTTTTCTAACACCAACCATTTGACTTCTGAGGGTTTTTTTCTCCTCCAGGGACTGGGCAGGTGGACCTGAGTTCAGTAACACTGAGGTCAGCCATCCCTGTCACAACAGGGGAGGCTGCATCCAAATCTACAGAGGGTGGCACATCTGTGGTCTGGACAAGACCTGCTATGACCCCTACTGGGACTGGCTGACTCCCAACTACGGGGGAAGCCCAGGAGGACAGGAATTTGGTCTGTTCTGTTTGATGGGTTATGCTAAGTGCCTACAAAACTGATTGTACATGGCAGACACTTCATATAAGCTTGTTGAATGAATGAACTGCAACCAGCACCTCCCCAGATACCTAGGTGGACATGGGCCCCTCTGCCTGCCCCCAGGGACCTCTAGATGGAAACCCAAACCTCTTACAAAAACCTCTTACAAATGAAAACTTACAAATGAAAAACCCATGCTAACCAAACCCAGGGGCCAGTGAGAGCTGAGGCAGGGGCTGCTTCATGGGGGAAAGGAAAATAGTTAACATGAGCAAACTTCCAGTCCTTTCTTCAGGGGCAGACGCTGGGTAGGCACTTTCCATGGCTCATTCCATCTGGTCCCTGCAATGACCCTCTTGGTCTAGTCCTTTTGGCACCAACTCTTCAGAGGTGCAAACAGCTCAAGTGCAGTGACATTCTTAAGCCACAGCTAGTTGGAGCTGGGTCACCTCTGTGCCATAGAGAAGCGGTGCTCACCCTCCCAGCAGCAGGTCCAGCACCCGGTGGGTGGAAGTGAGGGCTCAGCAGGAGCACAGGAAGGTGGGGGCATGGGAGGTGTCACTGCCCAGGTGGCTGTACTTGATGCTCCAGCAGCTTCTCTAGCATGTCTGCCTGGACCATCCCCACACAGCAGGCTCCCCTCTCTGGGGTGGGACAAGGTGGGGTTACACGGTCAGGGCAGCTTGGATGCCCAACCTCCTCCATGGGAACAGAGTCACTGACCCCATGTCATAGAAGGCACCGAGGATCCAAGAGGTCTTGATGTGAGCTGACTTGTCACAGGGCTGAGATGTGGCCAGCTGCGAGCTGGAAGAGTAATAGAACCACACTTTTGTCACTTCGCGTGATGTTCAGCTAATGCCAGAACACTGGCACGAGTTGCAGTGAGGAAAATTAAGCTTTAATTACAAGGCCAAGTAATGGAGTCCAGGTGGCTAAAGCTCAGAAACATCCTGATCTCTAAGAACGTGTACAGGCAGGGTGTTTTAAAGAAAGTGTTGGGGTTGGGGGAAGGGGCTGCGTTAGTTACCAGTTGACTGTTCTGAGTGGCAGTATCTCTGAGCACAAAGAAACAGGATCTCCATGAACAATGACACAACTTTTAGTTTCCTTTATCACTTACCAGGCTCCTATCAGTCTGGGTTCTTGACAGTTCACCGCCTCCGCAAATTGTGAGGGCTGGGAATGTTCTGGATTTTGTCCTATAAAGACATCTTGAGGATGTGTATAAAGATACTGTTTCCTGGGGCCGGCCCGGTGGCGCACTGGAGAGTGCGCCACTTGGGAGTGTGGCGGCGCTCCCGCCGAGGGTTCGGATCCCATGTGGAGACCGGTTCCCGCTCACTGGCTGAGCGCAGTGCGGGCGCAGCACCGAGGGTTGCGATCCCGTTACCAGTCAGTAAAAAAGACAAAAAAAGGAAAAAAAAGGAAAAAAAAAAAAAAAAAAGATACTGTCTCCTGCCCCTGGAGCTTAGCAGCTCTGTTTTATGGTCCTCCTCATCACTTAGGTTACATCCCGTCCTGCCCAGCTGTCTTCTTTGTACTCCCTTACTCATTTGCTAGTTGTAAATCCTAACTCCTTAATTACAGAGTCTGTTCCCAGATCCTAAGTCACATCAGCTTGAGGGACCAAGGCCACAGCTCACTTTCATTAAACTTTTGGGAGGGATTCACCCAAATGGGGTGTCCACTCAGTTATAGAACCCAGGATAACTTGACCACAAGACTGTCTTCAATAATTGTTCAACAATGACAAAAATGAAAATGGTAATAATTACAACAATGATGATTATAACAATGGCAATGACCATGTTGGTGATAATAACAGGAATAAAAGTAAACCCAAGGAGGTGGCAGAGGAGTACAGACCTCCCCAAGTGAACGAGCAGGTGCTCATGTTGGGACCAGGGATGCTCTGCGGCGAGAGCAGAGAGAATGCAGCATGAACGGGTTCTGTGAAGGTGAAGGACGAAAGGTAGGTGGGAAAGAACTCAGAAGAGGAGGGTGGGGGCCAACAGGAGACTCGTGTGTGGAAAACTTTGGGTGAGCCTTGGGAAAAGAGGAAACCGATGCCACTCCCAGAGCCCAACACCACCTAGGTAGAGTGAGGGTTAGGGTTGGTGGTGATGTTGAGGTTTGGGTTTGGGTTGAATTAGGGATAGGGGTTGGAGATAGGATTAGGGAGTTGGGTTAGGATTTGAGGTTATGGTTGGTTTTAGGGAGTAGGGTTAGGATTAGCGGTTATGGGTTAGGTAGGTTGGGGTTAGAGATTAATGTTACAATTGGGGTAGGGTTAAGTGCTAGGGGTAATGTTAGTGGCTAAGGATAGGCTTGCTGTTGGGGTTAGATTAGAGGTTAGGGTTAAGGCTTATTATTAGAGTTCAAGGTTTAGATTTAGGGTTAGTGTAAGGTTAGGGTTAGGTTGCAGTTTAGGTGAAAGAGTTGGGTTTAGGAGTTAGAGTTGGGATTGGAATAAAGTGGTAGGGTTTAGGGACAGGTAATATGTATAACATGTTAGGAGTTAAGGATTATGGTAATAGGGTTTGTTTATGGTTTATGGCTTAGGCTCAGTGGATAAAGTTGAGGATAATGGTGTTTAGGGACAGGGTTGGGGGTTAAATATTAGGTGTTAGAGGTTAGGGTTAAGAATTAATATAAGGGGCTGGCTAGTTAGCTTAGTTGGTTACACTATTTTGCTGATAACACCAAGGTCCAGGGTCTGATCCTTGTACTGGCCAGCTGACAAGGAAAAAAAGAAAAAAAAGAATTAGATGCGAGGCCAATTGGAAGTTGGTATCATCCCAACCTCCAATGACAGCGGCCAAAATGAGAAATTTATGGATGGAAAGAAAGCTCTTCAGGGCAGAATTGGTGACTATACAGGTGTGGGCAGTGAGCATAAAGGAGATGTTGGAGATAAAATCTGGACAACTGTCTCCACTGAGTGATTAGATGCTGGTCTTGCTGGCTGAAGAAGGGGATACTAACAAGGTCAGATTCAGGTAAAGAGCTTGAGGGCCAGTTCAGTCACACTGAGGTACAGGTATCCTCAGAGCACAGATTCCCATTCTAAAAAGAGCAAATTAGACAGGCTCTGTTCTTGGACCCAAGGGCATGTTTAATTCATGGTGAGAGGCATGCAGGACCTCTGCACCCCACCATACCTGATGTAATCACTATCCAGTGAAGCCCAGCCTGAGCACATCCATGCTGTAGGTGGAAACTGCACTTCCCAACTGGCCACCATTGTCCTGCATGTCCTGGACTGAAGTCTTCTGGGGCACCAGAACCTTCCAGTGTAGAAGGGCCTGGCGGTTGAAGTGACCAGTGTGGAGTTGTATAAGTAGGCGAGGAGAGATGCTTAGGGGGAAGCCCCTATTTATGTGAACCAAGATGGTCCTTTTGAAGACACAGGGTATGACTCTGAGTCAAGGGCACTTGGTCTCAGGGAAGCCAGAGAGAGTAGATTCCGAAGGGTAGGGCCACCAATCTTCCCAGGAGGCAGTCCTGCCAGATGGAACTGTCCACCCCCATCCAAGATCTTGTTAGACCAGGATATCATAAACTTCTCAGAACACAGACAGTTTACACTAAAAAACAAAAACAAAAAACAAAACAAAACAAACCCCAGGAGACATTTGTCTAGTGAGAAACTCAGCAGCAACCATTAGGTGGGAGGTAGGGAAGTGTGGTGATCTGGGTTTACAAGACTTCTGCTTGAGAAAGGAGTGCCACCTCCAGCAGAGGGGTCACAAGAAAAGTGCTTGTCTGAGTCCAGGATATGACCTGCCCAGCCTGAGGTGCCTGGCAGATATCTGAGTGGACGGGCATAATTATAACCTATCTAAATATTAGTAATGACACACACACCATCCTGACTACTGTATGGGCTAATTTCTGTTCTCTTCTCCCCCCAAAATAATTATTTTGCAAATCTTAAACCCAGGAACTTCAAAAGGTGACTGAATTTTGAGATAGGGTCTTTAAAGAGGTGGTTAGGTTAAAATGAGTCTGGCCCTAAAACAATCTGACTATTGTCCTTACAACAAGAAGGGATTAGGACATATGTAGACACACCAGGGGTAATTGTGCACAGAGGATGTCCATGTGAAGAGGAAGAGAGAAGGCAACAACTTCCAGCCAAGGAGAGAGCCTTAGAGAAAACCAATCCTGTCAGCACCTTGATCTTCAACATCCAGCCTCCAGAACTATGAGAAAATACATTTCTGTTGTTTAAGCTGCCCAGTCTGTGGGGTTTTGTATGGCAGCCCAAGCGAACCCATACAGGTAGCCCAACATGAAATCTAAAGTACTGTGATGGGCTGTCTCTATTCATACCAACAGGAGACTTGCTATACTCCATTTAGTGAGGAGGTGCTATTATTCATAGCTTCTGCCTAAGTTAGTGATAAGTTTCCATTATGAGTTAAATTGTGTTCGCCCTTCCCCCAAATTTATATGTTAAAGTCCTAAACCACACTACTACAGAATGTGATGTTATTTTGCAATACTGCCATTGCAGTTGTGATTATTTAATCCCGTATGACTGATGTCCTTATAAAAAGGGGGAATTTGTGCACAGACCACACAGGGAGAACATTATGGGAAGATGAAGGCAAACATCATGGTGATGAAGGCAAACATCATGGTGATGATTCTACAAGCCAAGGGATGTCAAAGATTGTCAGTACACTGCCAGAAGCTAGAGGAGAGACATGAACCAGATTCTCTAGGGTCAGAATGATCGATGTGACCTCCTTTTTGTACTCCCATCTGAATCTTAATTACCAGCCTTGCCGATTTATAGAATTAAAACTTCTGCATACAGACAAGACTCAAAATATGAATCCTAAAGTGCATGAGGTGTTAATCTGAAACACATTGTATCAGCTGCCCGTGCTGCAAAGGAAGTGGTATCTAGTAAGAATATAGGGAGGCCCAGGAGAAAAGGGGGTGTTCACAACATGGGACAGAAACCAAGGCCTCTTGTTAGCTGGGTTACTATGAGTCTGGTTAGTATTAGTCTGTTTCAGGTGGCAAATACATGGCTCATTGTCCTACACTGGCTGTAGGATTAAAATTTAGAATTTAATAGGGTCATGTCAATAGATTGTAATAATAACCAACTCTTTACCTGGGAGAGAGGGACAAACCTTTTCCAACTGTGTAGTACAATCCATTGAAGACAGACAAATCAGTTTATTGGATGAGAACATTTTCTAATGGCTTGGAAGAGACTACCATATTAATTTCTCATCTGTTTAACCACTTAAAAATAGATGCATGACTTTTCATCCTCTAAAATGCATCTGCAAAAATAAACACGGGTTCTATAATAGCAATACCTATATGACAACTAGAAAAATAAAATCACTTATTAATATCATGCTGTAATTAGCCCACATTCGAATTTCACCGTTATTCTCACAATGCCCCAGGTTGTCAAACCAGGATTTAGTAAAGAATCAGAATTCTACCTCGTAATAACGTGGAAACAGACCAGTCTTGATCCATCAGGTCCTGTTCTCCTGGTAGCAAGAATCCCTGATGAGAAAATAAACAAAATCTTCTCCTTCGGTCCCTAAAGGATGATGGCAGAGGCTTGTTAGAAATGTCGTCTCGCCCTCCAGCGATGTCACCAGCACAGGAGTACTAAACAGCTATTACAAGTTCCCACTGTACTTGTGGGGCTCGAACGCTCTGCCGTCTGGGAAATGTAGTTTCGCCCTGCAGTGAGGACAACAGCGCAGGACTACGGGAAGGGCTTTTCCGGGTCCCTTCTGCGCATGTGCGGCCCCTCCCTCTCCGCCATCTTTTGTCTTGAAATTCCGGATGCCGCGGACACCCTTCTGCTCCTCAGATCCTGGGGTCGGATTGTGCGTCCCTGAAGGTGGGTGCGAGGGTGAAAGAGGAGCCCCGCAGGCCTCGGGGACCCTGGGGAGCGGGACAGTGTCCCGGCACTTGGCGGGCGGCTCGAGCGCGGACCTGGGCTGAGCCGGGCTGGGGAAGGGGCGCCCGGGTTGCGCTTTCCAGACGGCTCTGTGAGAGGACGCGGGCGTGCGCCGCCGGTGTGCAGGAGCCGGTTCCAGTGAGAAGCCCCGAAGTGGTTCATTTCCCGGAACCCTCAAGAGAGAGGCATTCCTTTCGTTTGGGAATTTAACCACTTCAGGGCTTCTCACTGCTCAGAAGAGGTGGGCTTTGCGTAATCCTTTGGGGCTCTGTCACCCAGGGGAAGAGGTGACAAATCCGTGGGGGGCAAAGCGACAAGAACCCTCTCAGTACTGCTTCAGGGCAGAGGCAAAAGAGTCCCAGAAAGGTGAAGAACCTAGCTTTGCACAGCCTAAAAAATAATTGTGTCTTGTGTTTAGAGGGCACCAGAGTTGGCTGATAATACCTCATTCAATAGCTATCTGAGACTGGATGATATCGGAAGGTTTGGACCAACTTTCAGAAGGGAGAAGTGAATTAGACTAAGAAAGAGAGGAGGGACCTAGGAGGTGTTACTTATTGAAGAGGGTTTGAAGGTGTTCTGTGGGGCGCTGAGAGGATCTGTCTGCAGTGCTCTCTGAATACACTCCTATTCCTTCAATCTCCCCTCATTGTTCCCAGTGTCTGAGCTCTCGCAAACCCAGCCTATCGGCAAATTTGGCATCTAGAGATGTGCTGATAGTTCTCTATCTTCATAGTTCTTTTCTGGTCATTCAGAAATGCTTTTCTCTGTATTTCTACCTTGTAAGAAAAGTGAAAATAATTGGATATGAGGAAATGTGACTTTCCCAGGGTTACATGATTTGTTGATATTAGACATCCTGATTTTTTTGGCTAGCATTTTCCATTTTGCCACATTTAAGTCAAAACAAGTGTGTGTTCATTTTTGAGATTCTTTTTGTAATGCTGAAGTCAACTTAGACCAAACATTTCTTTAACATACATTGCCTTAAACATCCCTATCCTTTTTTAACTCCAGTACTTTCTTTGGATTATGTCACTTTACAGGATAAATAATGTATTTCCCACTTAAGGTCAGTAACGTATTTTTCAAAATCAGAACTTTTGCAGGAATATATTGGAGGCAATTTTACATTATTTAAAATGGGAAAATTAGACTGCACTTCCCTTCTACTGAAAACCAGTTTCTTAAATGTAATTAAAATGCTAGTGTGCTTCAAAACGTTCATGGAAGGATTTCTATTTTCTTTTCATTCTACTTTTCCCCAAACTTTTGAAAGTACCCTGGTACAGTGCTTCACACACTTATAAGGAACACCCTTTTTATGTTGTATGTTTTTAAAGTAAACTTGTATGTGATGTAAAAAACAATACAAAACAAAACTTACAACGTAGTTTACTGATGTGCAAATAATTGTTTTTTATGACTCCCATAGCCTCTACTAGGGCTAGAAACTTCACTGAAATACATGTGGTTAACATTCACTGTGATTTTTCAAAACTTCTATCTGTGGTTGTGAATGTATTTGACTTGTAATTTAAAACTTTCTCCCCCACGTAATTTTGTTAAATATGTTTTGAGTTTTGGGACTTAGATGTATCATTCAGTATTTGCTATGTAAGAAACAAGTCAAACCCCAATGGCTTAAAAAAACCTAGCCATCTTATTTTATTTATTTATTTTTTTGAAGTTCTATGGATCCACATCTTGGGGTGAATTTAGCTGGGAAGTTCTCATTCTAGTGTTCCCTTGATTACAAATGTGGATTTAGTCACCTGGTGTCTTGACTGAGGCTGTTTGGTTAAAGATGGCTTCACTCACATGTCCTGTGGTTTATGCTGACCTTTGGCCGGTCCCCTGTGTCTCTCCACCCTTCTTCACAGTATGACTGTGTTTAAGAGGCAAGCACCAATGGCCAGTACTTTTCAAACCTATTTTGCATGACATTTTCTAACATGCCAGTGTCCAAAGCAGGTCACATGACAAAGACTAGTTTATTGTCAGAATATGCTATATGAGGGCTTGGGTACCGGGAGATCAGTGTACCAGAAGAAATATATGTTATGTGTATATTGTTTACCTATATAATCATGGGCAACATGTGCTGGGTTACAAGATGCACACTGTCCAGATATTTAGGTACATAAAAGGAAGATGTGTTGTAATGGAAACACTTTTCTGGAGTCATGTGTAAACTTAATAGATTAATAGGGTAACAGTTAATATAGCCAAATGATTTCTACAAAACTAGTTCTAGTGATGTCACAATGTATTTTTCTTTGATTTAAGGTATTAGGTTATATGTTTAGGTAATATTGATTTGTGCTAAGTCAGTAGGGTATGTACGTTTTCATTGATTCAAAAATAAATTGTGTGTGCAATGTGTAGCTATTAATGTACTTGTAGCTGCATCTTTAATGGGGTCCTTGTTGCCCCTTATTGAGGCATGAAGGACTGTTCTTTCACAGGAAGGCTTTTTGTTTGTCTTTTCAGCTAGTAAGTAGAGTGTTTTGGGAAGGAGAATGTAGAGCCAAGCCACAACAGTACTCTCCTTAATCCACTCCATTCTCTTTTTTCCCAGCTATGCTGCCAGAGCGCGCTATGGGTTTACAAGAGCAACAAAAGATGAATAAATCTCTGGTGAGTTTTTTGGTTATTTCTTACTCACTCTTTTTTATTATATTATGTGAGCTTTGTGGCATGAATAAATTAAAATTGAAAAGTACAAATGAGTAAAACTCAGCTTGAAAGAAATGTACGTTCATACGATAAAGTTGGCATGTAGATATAGCAGTTTGTAAGTCCTCAGTTGAATAAAAATTTTTCTCTGGTCTTTGTGATGTTATGGAAAAAAGGCAGACACCTTGTTTATGTGATTGGAATGGAACCTAAGAAGAGAATCTGCCAAATTCTCTTGGAATATGAAGACTTGGTGGCACCAAATTCTACAACACCATCAGTGTTAGAAAGTTCTTCACTACATACCTGGAAATAAACATTTCTCACTTTCTGCAGTGGAAATAGTTACTTAGTTCTAAGGCACAAGTTACTTAGTAAGCTTTTTATAAAGTTTCTAAAATCTAGTTGCAGATGGCTCTAGAAGACTGTACGAAGATACATAGATAAAACAGAATTGTAACCTAAATTATAGTCAAATCCAATGACTGTTCTCTAGTCTTTTTCTAACTTGAGTCTTCTGCTACATTTTGAACTACTGTTCATGATATTCTCTTGGAAATTCTTCTGTGTTAGTTTATTAGTTTCTCTCATGACTTCATTGCCGGTTTTTGCTCTTTTCTCTTGAATTCTTCTACTTTCTTCTTTATAACATAGCTTATCAAAGTGCTTTAATTCTTCTACTTTCTTCTTTATAACATAGCTTATCAAAGTGCTTTATCCTGGGCCCTGTTCTTCTCATGTGAAATTCTTTTTCACTGATTCAGTCCTCTGTATTTTGCATTCTTCTTTCTCTCCAGGTTGTACTTCTTCCCTAGTCTTTTGATCATAGGTTGAACTCTGTTGAATGCTTGTTTGTAGCTATTCAAAATGCACCTCAAGGGACTGGCTTGTTAGCTCAGATGTATAGATCATGGTGTTTTAACACCAAGGTCAGGGGTTCAGATCTCTGCACCAGCCAGCTGCCAGGGAAAAAAAATAAAATGTCACCTCAAGTTCATCAAATATGAAATTAAAACCACTTCCCCTTCTTCTGTTATATGTGTTTTCACTACCACCCAACCACTGACACAAGCCAGCAAAATGACTCCTCCCTCTTTCTTGGGTCTAATTTTATCTTGTGTTACTTCCTGCTACTTTTGTTTATTTGGTCTTTTCATTTTATTCTGATTTCTATATACACTGCCATTATAGGGGGAGATGTTTGTACTCATAAAGACAGTCACTTCGTTCCTCTGGAAATATCATTCTTGTAAAAACCTGAAGGTAATGTTTGCTGGGCTATGAGGTTCAATCCCTGGTGACCCATGCTTCTAGCTGGCACCTGTGGTGACATCCTTAGGAGTCCTTGGGGAGAAAGCCTTCAGGAGTTACTGGGACATGTTTGAACAATGGTCAATAAAAAGACATGATATAAAAACAGAAAGTACAAATTTTCATAATGTCTACCTTTTGCTTCTATAAATTTACATCAGTGATTCTATTTGTAGTTTTTGTCAATATACAGTTATCTGTTTGTAGTTCAATAAGATTCATCATGTTTTTAAACTTTCTTACAGATTGTGTTTTATTCTTCTCCTATTTCAGGTAATTACTTAAAAATGAGTGAGAAAGATGGATGTGTGCCTTAGTCACCAGTATGTTTTAAAACTAGAACTGTAGCTAATAGCTACTTAAGAAAAAAAATTGACAAACCAGTTATCTGAACATTTACATTCACAATTGTAGTTTGAAACCTAACATAAGATGTGAAATGTTTTCATTCTTTGTTTTGAATCTAATATTCACTGTGAACCTACACTCTTCATGTTTCAAATCAAAGTACTACCTAAGGTCTCTAATAACTTTTTGATGTTCCAGTGATCTGCTGTGCAACAAAGTATCACAAAACTTCATGGCTTAAAATAAGAACATCTTCTAATTACATGTCACAATGTTTTGGGTCAGTAAACTGGACAGGGTGGTGGGGGTTCACTGCTACACAATATCTCTTCTCTGAGCTGGAAAAACTCTAGTGGCTGGGAACACTGAGTAGACATCCAGCCCTCTTTTGGTGGCCATGTTGGACTTCCTCACAGAGTGGCATTCTGAGGGTAGTCAGGTTTGTCTGGCTTGTCTGGCTTCTGCCAGAGCTGGTGTCCAAGAGGCCCAGGCAGAAGCTGCAAGGATTCTTGTTATCTCCACTCAGATACCAAAGCATCTCTTCCAACGTATTCTCTTACTCAAGCACATCACTAAGACCAGCCTTGATTCAAGGGGAAGGCAATTAGATTCCACCTCTCAATAAAGAATAGCAAGACTTTGTTGCAGCACTGTTTAATAGACCACACTCTGCTCTCTGACCACAAATTTCTACCACATGCAAAATATACCTTGCCCCTCTCAAGAGCCCTAGAAATATTCTACCATTGTGCAGTTGGCAAAAAGCCAAACTAGATAAGCTCCAGTGTCCTGTCATCCTTTTAACACACATCCAGCTTACAGTGAACAGACAGGCATGACCATGTGTGCACTTTTCTTCAGACAGGGTTGGTGAGAAAGGGCAGCACCCTGCAGGCACTGTTCTGAGTAGTTACTTATTCCCATCAGGCACTGCCTGATTTCATTAGAGCCCAGTCCTGGTCCCTGGAAAATATGTCTCGTGCCTCTTCACTGTGTCCTCTGGGCTCTCGCCATTCTCTGTCAATATCTCTTTTCCTTGAATGTCTTGGTTTGCAGACTTTCTTTACCTATTTTTGGTTATTATATGTTGGGGATCCAACGATCTTTTTTTACTTTTTTCTGACTCTGGCCTTTTGATACAGGAAATTATCTGGCATGATCACTGCCATAAAAACATGGGTTTCCATTGTGCTAAAATCCATTAGACTAATGCTACCCCCCCACATTCTGAGTCAGGCCCTTTGTTCTCTGACCTCCCCTTCTCTCCAAGGTGGCTCTTTCCTTAGAAGTTTTATTGTTTACTAGGCACTATCGATGTGTCAGATCTTAAGGTACTTAGAAAGCTAGAAATATTTTTGGTCTTTTATCTTTTTTAGAAAACAATGGATTTGATCCTTCCCATAAAACAGTTTGAAAATATTTTTCTTGGAAAAATGGATGGAGAAGTAGTTTTATTTCAAACTCAGCAAGTCCTGGCTCCTTCATATTTTCTCTAAATTCTGTTTGAAAATTGAACATCCTTCTTTTATTTTCTCACTGACAGAGAGAGGAGGCCAGGTAGCACTTTTCCCATTGTGCCCAAAGGTCTCCTTTGGCAGACCCTGAGATGGTGAGATACCCTTTCCATTTTCCATGTTATGGGAGTGGTAGTGTGGCCCACATCCTTCAGTGTTCCATTCATTTCTAGTACTGTAATTTGTCTTGAAGATTCTTTTGCTGTTTTCAATATTTCCACTTAAGCTTTTCATAATTTGTTTTGCTATGGTAGATATGTTTTCATTATTTTACTTTTAGTCTGTTTCTTTGTATTTCAAGAGTAGTTCTCTGGACAACATATTGTTGAGTCTTACTTTCCTATCAAATCTGACAGTCTTTGCCTTAAGTAGAATATTTAATGCAATTCCATTTAAACTAATTATTGATAAAGTTTAATTTAAGTGTGCTGTTTTGCTATTTTCTATTTTTATTTGGTTCATCTGCCTTTTAATCCTCTGCTTTTTATTTTCTACCTTTTTAGCAATTATTTAATTTTTTTTTTTTCCCCTTTTTGTCTTTTTTCGTGACCGGCAATGGATCGCAACCCTCAGTGTCATGCCTGTACCTGACCGGGGACCGGCAACGGGATCGCAACCCTCGGTGTTGTGCCCGCACCTCGCTCAGCCAGTGAGCGGCCGGTCTGTATGTGGGATCCGAACCCTCGGCGGGAGCGCCGCCACGCTCCCAAGCGGCGCACTGTAGCAGTGCGCCACCGGGCTGGCCCTCAATTATTTAATTTTTTTCCCCCCCTTTTTGTCTTTTTTCGTGTCTGGCAACGGATCGGCACCCTCAGTGTTGCGCCCGTACCGGACCGGGACCAGCAACGGGATTACAACCCTCGGTGCTGCGCCCGCACCTCGCTCAGCCAGTGAGCGGGAACTGGTCTGTATGTGGGATCCGAACCCTCGGCGGGAGCGCCACCACGCTCCCAAGCGGCGCACTGTAGCAGTGCGCCACCGGGCCGGCCCTCAATTACTTAATTTTTAAAAAATATTTTATTTTGGTTCATCTGTTGGCTTTTAAAATAATTTATTTTTAATTTTGGTAAAAAGCATATAACATAAAGTTTCCCATTTGAATCATTTCTTAACCTTTATGTACTTTTAAGCATATTGACACTGTTGTGCAGGAGATGCCCACAAGTGTTTTATCTTGGAAAATTGAAACTCTATATCCATTAAATGACAACTCCAAATTTCCCCCTTCTCCTAGCCTCTGGCAACCACCATTCTATTCTGGGTTTCTAAAAATTTGACTCTTATCAGTGGGACCTTACAATACTTGTCATTTTGTGAGTGTTTTATTTCACTTTGCATAATGTCCTCAAGGTTCCATATTATAGCATATGTCGAGATTATCTTTCTTCTTAAGGTTGGATATTATTTCTTTGTATGTATATACCACATTTTATTTATCCATTCATTCGTGGCTGAACATTTGGGTTGCTTTTCTCTATTAAGTCTGTGAGTAATGCTGCTGTGAACACAGGTGTGGAAATATCTTTTTGAGATCCTGCTATTAATTATTTTGGATATATACACAAAACTTGGATTTATGAATCCTATGGTAATTCTATTTTTCATTTTTTGAGAAGTCACTGTACAATTTCTTTTAATAGGGGCTGCATCACTTTATATACTCACATAAAGTGTGCAAAGTTTCCAATTTTGCCAATACTTGTTATTTTCTGTTAGGTGTGAAATGATATTTCATTGTGGTTTTGCATTTCTCTAATGATTAATGATGGTAAGCATCTTTACATGAGC